AGGCTGCTAGTGGTGATGCAATAGTGAGGATTGATATTTTCATGCCACATTTTAGGACCCTTAGTACCACTTTAGCATTGTTTAAATGCCCCAGCCTACTTGAGCATTGTTACTGACCATGTCCATCACCCTTTATCCCTTCCAGAAAGATAAAGCACCATTTCGCAAAGCTCAAATAATCTCAAAGTACTTTCTTGAACATGACAGTGGGTTCACGGTTCTCAAATGACCTTTGGAGTATGGTGTAAAGGGAGATCCACATTGTGGACCTACATGTCCAACCAAGGTGTACTTTGTAAAGTGGCTGGTGAGTGTATGTATCACCTAAAGACAAGCAAGAAACAAAGCAAAAAGAGAAAACATCCTACCCTTTCTTTTTCTCAATGATTGAGTCATCAATGAAGATGATACTGGCTTTTCTGTGCTTTCTGTTCACACTTTTTACCTACAGCAAACAAAACAACAAATAAAAAACAAAACAAAAGGTGAGTCAATGTTTTTCATGGGCAATTATTGTCATTTTAACAGTGAACACTTTTTTTGATTCATCATCTAGTAAATTCAAGATATACAATAGTAGGCTGACTGACAGCACGTATCAAAAAAGCATTTAAGGCATTGATTCAATAAAAGAAAAGGAAAACATTAACCAGAATCTGCTAAATTGTGATTTTATCACATGTCACCATTATGTACTCACCAATGCAGGCCAATATGGATAGTTTCTATATTTGTGCCACACAAATGCTCCTTCGGTAATGGATGGGGGCTCTGAAAGTCAAAACAAAAATAAACAAATCAACTCAGTGTCCTGTACCGTCACAGACTCCAGTTATCCTTGTGGTCTCGCTCACTTTCGTCTGTCCGCATCAGGAAACTTGGGAGCTCTTCCTCGTCCTCCTCATCACTTATGTCATCCTTCTGGTAGGACAAAGTAGACAGCTGTTCTTCATGATGACTCAGTTCTATTGAAAGATCCGAAGACATCATGGAGTCATCTATTGTGGAGTTAAGAAGAGACAGAATTAGAGCACACCTGCAGCTCTCCATGCCAATTAAAAACACATGACATGCAAGACAGACTGTGCAAAATAAAAAACAAATGTAAAAAATGTGGCTTCACAGAACTGGCTGTGCTTGGGGACAACAGTACTGAATAATACACTACCTTGACTTTCTGCTTCAGCCTTCTGGAGTTCAAATCTTGGCCTGGAGCGGGAGGATGATTTCTCTTTATTTAAATTCCCAGTCTCTCTTTTTGGCTTCCTACCACGCCGGCACTTGACTGGAGGATCATCGGTTTTACCATCGGTCTGCGTTTGCGTCTTTGTCTGTCTTTGTTTAACCGGTCTCTTACGCTTACGTTGAGGTTTTGACTGTGAATCTACCGCTGTTGTCTAAATCAGAATACTTTATTAATCCCGAAGGAAATTAGGACATAAAACAGAACATAAAAGGAAACTGAATTCACTGAAGCTATGTGGGATTATAAAAATATATAAATTTCACTTTTATACCATACCTTTATCTGAGTGATGAACTCAGTGTATTGTAGCTCCCCTTCAGGAGGGGAGCCTGAAATGGTTGACGGGACATCATAGGTGGTGCTGTAGACTGGTGTGGAGGTCAAGCAGGCTTCTTGTGCAAACCTCATTTTCTCCCTTTCATTTTTTGGAGTACTAGCCTCTATTGAAAAGACAAGGCCGCAGTCGCTGCAGTTGCCGGTGCCTGGCACAGCACTTGAATCATCTGTGCTGGGAGACAAAACCGCATCTGAGGGGTCTTTCTCTGGCGACTTCTTTTTAGGTTCCTTTTTCCTTGTTTTTCCAGGTGCACCTAGGGGGGGGAGAGAAAAAAAAAAATCACGTGGTCATTTTTCTACTGTCATTTTGAGTAAATTTGTGTGTTCATATGAAAACATCTGGCTGTCTCAACGACTTTCTAAAATGTAACTCAGAGTTCTCGTTCATAAAAGTTTTGATTACCTTTCATTGCTGTAATATTTGGTGTATTCCTCCTTGTGGAAAGCTTTCCCTGGAGTTCATTGGGACACCGGAATACCAGCGATCTGACATTAATCGGGGCTTATTTTCTTTATTTGGGGGAGTTGAAGGTCCGTAGTAGGCGCCAGGGTTGATAAACCGGTAGCCGCAGTAGCTTTATGCCTGATTTAAAAAAAAAAAAAAGTAAAGTAAGGCGATGTTGCTCAATCGGCATGCTTAGTAGGCCGTACTTTCGCCTTGGATGAGTTTGGCACTAAACGCGATATTCGCAGGTTATTCTTGACATGCGTAGTGAATTCACAAATATGCGGAAAAGCTGTTGTCACGGAGACAACAGTGTCCTGGAACTGGGCGTCTAAGTACCTTTTTAACGGGAAACTCTACCATTTATGAATTTGGGTTTTAAGAAAACCATACATGTGCAAACGGCACAACAAACATTTGAAAAACAAAGTTTAACGGTGCAGTAACAGCGCAACGCCCAAGATGTGCTGCAGGTCAACCAGATAAGAGCGCTCGCTTGCTAACAAGACTTGCTCGCTAGTAAACAGGCATAAAAACCTAGTTTCTAACAAATCACAAAGTTGTTCACGGGGGTTTACACAGTTCCGTATTGTAGTTATGCGCCACTTGTCACACTAAAGCCATGTCACTATTCCGCCCTTTATATAATGCAATAACGTTGACGTACGGATCAACTAAAACAAGCAATGCAACAAATTAACTGCCGCCAAACTACGACGTAGACCCATAAAAATAGCGACTGACTGACCACCTCTGCCCGAGTCAAGCGAAGTAATGACAAGAGCTACAACTAGCCACTTACCTTAGGAACCCTAAACTCGGTATTTTTGTGCCACTCGCTAGCTTTTAGCTCCAGTTAAAACCCTTGACATAGTTGTTGCATGTAAACATTCACCGTTACCAAAAGTTGCACGAAAAAAAGGAGTTCCTAACCCCGAAACAAAACCTGCAGTCAATAGTGAAAGCAATGCGTCGTGCAGACAATTCCTGTTAACAAATGTTTGTTATTTCTCGTGGACTGTATACCACACTAAAAGATTTGCCGCCACCATCTGGACCGGAGGGCGTGATTTTATGTCTGAAAAAGCGAGAAGGACACGCTTGGCTGTTCACGGATTTAGTGTTGTGGTTGAGCACAGGATGTGTGCACAACTTGCAGCTATATACTGTTTAGAAGAGATTTTAATAGGCTTATGCATGGGTAGGAGGCAAGAATTAAATAATTCAAATAAAAATGTAATATGAAAAAAAATGCCACCCAAACATACCGGGTTTAATTTTGAATTTTTTGAAACTGCCCCCATTTTTTGCTGTATTAACTCTAAAGCGACATTGTCTTCCAATCTCACAAAAAGCTACCAAATTCAATAAGTTATATATATACACACATAGAAAAAAAGACAGTCATGTGACTTTTTTTTTTTTTTTACTGTAACTTGCTTCCAGATCCACAGAGTTTTACAGAGACACATAAAAAAGCTTGTTTTGCTATTCGTGTAATCTTTTTTATTTGTATTTATTTCGTTTTATTCTATTTATTTATTTATTATTTACTGCTGTGCTCTAATTCAGCGTTGAAGCTTATCTAGTTTATCATAGGGGTAGCAGAGTACAACCTGCTTGTCCAAATTCTCGCAGAGCGAAAACCTAGAGACAACCACACAAGTCCACTTTCACAATTATGGGCAGGGAGAACATGCAGACTATACAAAGCAAGGCTACACAACCCCGGATTTGAGCCCAGGACTTTTTTCCTGTTAGACGTGCTAACCATTTGCAAAATTAAAAACAGCATGCCTGTAGGTTTTTTGTTTGTTTGTTTCTTTTTGAAATTTCTGTGTTAAAAGTGTAAGTCAAAGCGACACTACCCAACTGCAGAGCGCTCACAATACCACTTCTTTCTCTAAAATCGACACTCACCTTTAGTGCAGCAAAATCTCTTCTGGTAAAAAAGTGTGAAAGACTAAGCAAGAAAGAAAAAAAGCAAAATCTTCTCTGATTACGCAGTCATTAAAAAGGAAAAAGAGTGGGAAAGGATGGGAAACAGGTCTGTTCAACAGTCTACTTTCACTTACCTGTTGGTGTCTGGTTTCAACCGCAATGCCCTCCTGGGAACAAAAGAGGGCACTGTGTGACCACTCATCCTGTGTTCACATGGGTTTCCTAAACCTTTCCATCACGTAGAAGTATTGCTGCTGCTCATGCTTGGATCTTAATGCTACAGTCCTAGCTTTGCTTTCTACAGATATTTTCTTCAATTAGGGGCTCACCACCCTACAGCTTTACCTGCTGAAAAGTCACAATTGACACTTTTTTATTTGTTTTTGTTTCTGTTTGACTGACAGAGGTCAAAGGCCGGTGGTTAAGCTTACAGCAACAGGGCTGAGATGTCTTTGACACTGAGTACACAGTTATTTAACATTTTTTAGTCTCGTTGTAATTTGATGATTTTCTTCATCCATTTTATTCTATCTGATACCACTGCCTGCTTGATTGAGAGGTTTTCGGGGCTGTAATCAGGAATTAAAATCCAAGTACTTCCAAGACACCAAACTAAAAAAAATAAAATACAAATAAATAAGTAAAGTCTTTGAAATGCCTCCATTCGTTGGATTTTCCTCATAGAAAATCGGTTTAATTGTTATTTATATGTAAGTATATTTTTTCTCAGTCCATACTGTCCAAAAATGAATCTCGCATAAATACAAAGTTTTTATAGCTTTGGTCAAAATGACTTGAAAGCTTACAATTTTTTTTAAACACCTTAAAGTTATGTTCCTAAACTCCACCACTTTCCACTTTAATCAGGCAGAAATCCACCTGTCACTCAACTGGCACCTTTGGACGTGCATTGGCCTGAGGCAGATGAGGGATAAATTGGCCCCGCCTTCATCCAGATGTGCGTTCTTGCTCCTGTCTCTTCAGTCAACTGCTGGCTTCGGCGGAGCCGCAGGAAGTCAAGAGGAGGGCGCAGATAGTAACACTCAAAGTACAAACAACGAGGAGATGACTTCTGTAGCAGTGGTCTGAACCAGCCGAATCTCACACGGTCTAGTTAGAGAAGGAGACCTGCGCCGTGCGTCGGAATTTCAGCTACCCCCTGAGGGGGGTGGGGGTGTTTGCTTTACCTGGCCAGCCTGAGACGCAGAGCTGATGGAGAGAGGCTGGGCTGAGTGCGGTGCCACTCTAGAGCGCTGTTGAACAGAGAGCTTCATTCAGCTCATAGACTCTGCTGAAGGGGAGCGGTCTTTTTCACCGACCTGTGTGATTCTTGTGTGCTTTTAGGAGTAATTCGAGGGCTATTTTAGACGCAACAAACCGTGCGGTTTGTTAAGAAGAGACCGAAACCATCTGTGATTTTTTATTGTGTGTCTCTTAGACGCAGCATGGGGATGTAACTGGGTTCATCATGCATCTGGAAGTGGCGTGAGGTTACCACCAGCCCGAGAAGAGCAAACTGCTGGGGCGTGTGGTTAATTGAAATTGATCCGGTGGTCTTTATTTTTTATTTTTTAATTTATTTATTTTTGGATGTGAAGCTGTAGCAGAGGTTCTTTCTCCTCTCCTCTCCTCCTCCCCATTCCTCTCACCTCCAACATGACTTCACTGTCGGGGACTAAGGAGAGGTCTGTGAGCAGCCGGAGCAGAAAATATGGGGTAGGTTATTCATTCCAGCAGCCGAGGGGTGGACACACCTCTGTTCCCAATCAGCCTGGTAAACATTAAAACTTATCATCCGTTCACTGCTGCATGCACTTCATCTCACACTCCACCCATTTTTATAGGAGACTGCCGTTTGCTTCGTTTTCAGGGTGACATAAACATGAAACTTGAAGGTTCTTGTAAGATTTGTGTTCCTACTGCTGATTGCTTTGTGAAGATCACACTTCAAATATCAGTGCTTATGGTGTTATGGTGTCACAACGCTGGCATGCATTTTCACTGAATGATCCCCAGAAGTAGCACTTGCTGAGCACCAAAGTGCTAAATCAGTGAAGACTATTATAGTCACACCTGTGTCACTGCCTATCATCTACAAAGACTAATTAACAATAATTTATAACACGCCGTTTGGCACAATATAACCACCTCTTCATTTGGAGATGATTGAGCGTTCCCATTTATCAGCCTCAACTCTTTGCTGCCTTATTATAGCCCTCGAGAGAAAGATCACAGGAGTGCCCAACCTTTACAGCCTCCACCACATCAATGGGTCTGTTCTCTGACTGGATTTACCCAGCCGCAAAAGATCAAATTCTCCACTCTTTGCTGCTTGTTTGATGTTCCCATGTGGTTGAGTAGAACAAAATAACAGGTCTATCCTGGCTTAATCCTATTTAGTGGTTTATGGAAGCACTCAGTAGGATGACTTGTCGTTCCATTGCAGGAAATGTTTAATGTCATTCTCTGTTTGTAGGTTTTTAACTGAATGTCTGTCTAATTTAATGTCCTAATGTTAGGTAAGACTCCGTCTAATCTTGATCCCTGATCACACATTTCCTGTGTGGGTTATTCACAGGACACTCTGTGTCTGCTTAGCCTTTTTTCTTTTAAGAGAAATCAACATTTTTAGTGTTGATTGTGGAATAACAATGGATGCTGAATCTGTGATTTGGGTATTCATTTTTTTGTTAAAGCAGAACAATTAGTTGTTGAATTTTTAATTAAAGAAATGTTTACTTGCTTTAACTTTATTTCAGAAACATATCTCTATATTAGTACACAAAGGCAGGTGCAGATTGATATACTGGCCATGTGCTGTCGGTGTAATGCACATAAACACAATGATTATATTATATACATATTTTGACTTTCCTGCAGTGACTGTAAAAATTTGCATCTTGGAAATACACCATCATTAATTTTTTCTCTTCGGAAAATTTTTTCTTAGGTCCCTGACACATCGCCGACCAAATCTTCCTCCTTCTTCCCGGACACATGGTACCGAAAAGCCTATGATGAGACCACCCGCTCCGGTACACGCCCCGCCCCGGAGGGTGCTGGCTCCATGCCCAGCTCCACGGGAACACCATCCCCAGGCTCAGGAATCTCCTCACCAGGATCCTTCTCTGGGTCACCTGGGACCATCTCCCCAGGCATTGGGACAGGATCACCCGGTTCGCTAGGTGGCTCACCAGGTTTTGGGACAGGATCGCCGGCCTCAGGCAGTGGAAGTTCCCCTGGAAGTGAAAGAGGGATATGGTGTGAGAACTGCAATGCAAGGCTGACAGAGCTGAAACGACAGGCACTAAAACTGCTCATCCCTGGACCTTATTCCAGCAAGGTAAATTTCTTAGTTTTGTTTGTCCTTCTGTCTTATAGCGTATCTGAAAAAGTGTGTAGGAAGTCACACACAAGTGGTTATGCTCAGTTTCATAGCGTCCAAAAATAACTTGCTCCTTCATTAACTGTGGCATTTGGTCACTGGCACTTATTAACTTTGTTGCTCATGAAAGAGGGGACTTGTAATCATGCTCTTGCTTACTGTGTTGGTGTGTCGTCAGCATTATTGTTGCCATAAATCATAAGGATGCTGTAATTTGTCCAACCCCCATTTGACCAGCTGCAAAGAAAAAGGAGCAGAAACCAAAGAGCCTTTGGGATTTGGGATCATAATTGTATGTGAAGCTGTTTATCCAATACTGTCACTGCCAAAACAAAATGAAAAACATAGGCGAGATCATTTTGATTTCTGTCTTGGAGTTTCCCATTTTGCCTGATTGAACATATTACCAAAATCAATGAGCTCGCTTTAGTCTATATTGCTTTTCTTCTTTTGAGGGAATTAATGTGATGGATTACTGTAAGACACTAACCTCAAAGACTAGTATTAATCCACTTGGACTCCTGCCTTTTCTCATTTTCTTTGACAGGTGTATCATTTGTTTCTGTGGGTAGTCTATATAATCAGTTTTATTTTCATTAGTGCAGCATTTCTCAATAGCCAGGATATTTCCAGGAGTCCCAGAGTGTACATTCACCTGGGCGTACAAATGCATCATATATACAGATATGCAGCTCACATTTCTTACCTTTTCTACACTGAATAGGTTTTCTTATTATTGTTTGTTTTTAAAACTTGATTATGAATTAATGTGACATTACTTATCACTAGACGAATTTAACTTTTGACTGCTCTTTGCCTTTGGGTCTGATGTCCTTCTGCTACAGCTGACTGAATTTTAGTTATAAAACAATGGGCCTCATATCAGACATTGAGTTAATTGGTAACAAATAGGCTTAAATTATATGCCACGGGGCTGATAAGGCAAAGCTGTTGAGTCAGATGTAGACTTAGAGTGGCATAGTGGAATTTGCTGTAAAGACTGTAAGACAACAAGTGGTGTGGAAATGCTGTATTTTTATTAGTTCGAGAGTATTACAGTTGGAAATTGTTAGGAACAGCAGGGGTTAGTTGGGAGTCTCAGTTGCCAGACCACTAATTAAAGCGTCATTTGTGAGGCTGGGTTCATTTCAGGCTGATTAAAGTTCCCATTGTGGCTAACTTTATTGCAGCGTAGAAAAAACGCATGCACAACAATCAGCATTATAACTAGTTTAGGTAGTGTGTATGTCTTCATTTAAAAGCTGTCTCAATATAGACATAAAATAGTATGACCTTACTGGAAGAGGATATGGAAATGAGGATGGCATATAGTGTGTGGGCAATAGTTAGCAATAAGATTGTGGGTGTTCACCTTATTACTTGGATGGGGACTTTCTAAGTGGAGTTTGCCTGTGTGAATTTCCTCTCGGTGATCTAGTTCCTCCCACAGTCCAAAGACATGCATGTTAGGTTATTTGGTGAATCTAAATTGGCAGTAGAGATGAATTTGAGTGTGAATGGTGGTCTGTCTCCCTGTGAGAGACTGGTGACCTGTCCTGGGTGTTCTACACCTCTTGCCCAATGTCAGCTGAATTGTCTCCAGCCTGCCTGTGACCCTGAATTGGATAAGCAATTAAAATGGATTGATGAAGACGTGGAAATGAGCTCAATAGTATCAATGAATCTAGTGCAGAAATCTTGGGGTCATTGAATTTCAAAATATCTCATGTGGCTCAAGGGTCTGTTAATAAAAAATAGATTTTATTGACTTGTCCCAATTTGCTTCACTGATTTAACCTTCAAAGTATGAACAGGAGTGGAATTTGACATTGGAAAAAATGTGTTGTATTACATTATTTTACACTGTGGATGCAACACCTTGAAGACTGTGATAGTAGTTTCACACTAAGAAGAGAAAACACGTGTCTCTGTACTTTTAAATCTGTTGTTTGCATTTTTATTTTTAAGAAGTTTCTCATGTGTGAAGTGACTCAAGTCGCTCCAGCGGTTCTTGCATAAATTAGTTATTTTGACTCTTTTTCCTTGGGGTTGGTTCTTTTTATAGTATTAGAGTGTTCGATCCTCGAGTTCAAACAGACACCTGACACTACTTCTTGAAAAGTGTTGATTCAACAGTACAATACCCACAGCTAATGAAGTGCATTAAATCAATATAATAATTTTTTAATAACACCTATTATCAGTAAAATGAATACGTTTCATGTAAGTAGAGAAGTGGTTAAATCCTGAGAAACTTAAAACAACATGTAAGTCAAATCAGTTTATTATAAACACATTTAAAGACAGCAGGTTGACCATAGTGCTGGATAGCTAAAGTATTAAGATAATTTTTAATTAAACCCAAAAAAAAGAAAGAATTTGCACTGTCTTGCTGAATGCCCAGCAGGAAAAATATCAAATTACAAATGTAACCTGCTCTCTTCCTTTCAGCTTGTTTTTACTCATGAGATGAAGTTATGCACGTTATAAAGAAACTTTAATTGGAAGTTGCTAATTCAAGTGTCTTACCTATATTACACGTGTTTTCTGCTCTTGTCTGCGCAGAAACTCCACTGCAAGAGCAGAGGTTAGTTTCATTGATGGAAAAAAAACCCCTCTGGGCTGTTACTGAAAAATTTAATGGTTCAGGTATTTTAGCCATCTAGAATTTCCTGACTGGTTTTCTTCTTTTTTTTTAAACCCAGACACGTTTTACAAGAATGGTTTAAACTACGCAGGTGTTCTGCATCATGAAACGCTGAACTAAAGTCATTAGTTTGACCTAATAATCCTTCTCCTTCTCCAAATATGCCAGTGCAGCAATTTGGCTTGTGTATTTTGTGTGGGTGTATGGGTTCCTGATGCACTGTCAGCGTGAGACCCCGTGTTAGTCCCACAGGACACTGTGACATATGTGACCCACCGCACAGCTAAAACACAAACACACATCAACCATCTGATTAAACAGCTAACACACACACACACACACACACACACACACACACACACACACACACACACACACACACACACACGTTCACATGCCTTTGTCTGTGTCATGGATCTGACTACACAACGTTATGCAAGTTATGCTTGACCCACACACACAAAGAGTCGTATTACCATTTCTTTAGCCATTGCATACATTGCATTCAATTTCCATAGATTTACCCTTATTGTAGCCTTCAAATCAAATTACTCACTTTGAAATTTAATGATTTTTTTTTCACTCTTCATCCCCATAAAACATAAAAAAAGTCCTCACACTGTGACTGTGTAAACACATTTGTGAGTAGTGTGTGAGTAATACAAGTGCTCAGACATTCACACACAGGGTCGTTAATACTATGCTAATGATGACCTTCGCCGTGCTTACCTTTTGAATATTTTCCTGTCTGGATGTCTGCAGTTCAATGTGTAGGTGTGTGCAAGTCTGCTCACAAACACGCATAAAAACAAGCATCCATAAAATGATTTGTCATTGTGCTTAAATGTCAAGATAATATATTGCTGAAGACAAACCACGGTTTGAATGCTCATCCACTTATAGACTGTGTACGCAGCTATCAGTTAATGTAAACAAGCTGGACTCAACTAGGACTCTAAAGCACATCTGGCTACACAGCTGCACTCACTTAAGGCCTCTGTCCTTATTGCAGTGGTGTGTATATCTGCATGTCTGACTTGTGTTTGTGTATTCATCCTTTATATACACACCCAAATCATAAATGGATGGAGGGTGATCTGTTTTTGCTTGTCCAGTTTAGCTCAGGAAAGTGGGTCACTATGTGTGTGTATGTTTAAGTCACTAGCAAAGTGACTGTTTTAGATCAGTGGAAAGTTAAAACCATCCATGTTTATAAAGTGAAACGTATACAGTTTCCCACGAGACATAAGAATAGAGCCAAAGAAGGATATGTTTGTGAATATATATGCCCTCCCCAAGGACCTCTTGATGTCAGTATGAGATTTATTAAGATTGCTTTTATCTGTACTTTTTTTTTGTCAATTAGAACATGTTATGTCAAGTACAGTGCACTTAACCGTTGGAGTTTCTTCTGGATATAAATGCCTTATGCACTTAAAATGTTTGTATTAACAGATTCATTGATGTGTCTGCCTAGATGTGGTTGTAGATTAAACATCTGTCAGCAGCTACCAAGGCGGGGATCATTGCAGTTAGCGTGCAGTCAGATTGAAAAAGTAAAGCTTTCTATGATCCTGACATGCAGTGGTTATTTTTTTACTTAGCCTATTCGCTTGTTCACGCCCAAGTTATCATAACTCAGCCAGAAAGTGCAAGCCCGGAGTTATTATCTAAAAATATCCCAGTTCTCTGCTAACTGCACTCTATTTAATTTGTAAAATATGTGTACACACACACACACACACACACACACACACACACACACACACACACACACACACACACACGTAGAAAAATATTTAGTATACACATCCAGAAATGCATATACTATTATATATTGTACATATATTTATTAGTTTCAGATGTAGCCATTCTTGTATTTTGCTTGTTTACATTATTGTATTTTGCACAACTCTGTTGCTTGTGAAGGTCACACACAAGAATTTCACTCACATGTGCTGTACCAATGTACCTGCACATGTAATGTGACAATAAAAGTGATTTGATTTGATTTGATTTTCAAAAAATTTGAAAACCTGATAACCTAGCACGTGTTGTGCACATTTGAAGGTACCTAGAATTCATGTATCCATCATTTCAGTGTTTACATATAATTTAGATGTCAAAGCTTTGAAAAATTAACAAGAAAATAAATCAGAAAAGGTGTGAGGTTGTCATGTAAGGGGATATAAAGACCACTTTAGGAGCAGCTTTATGGTGCTTGAAAGGGTGTTTAAAATACACCAATACATCCTATACATTATTTTGTATGGTATAGTATTTGGAACATACATTGGTTCAGTCCTGACTC